AAAATTTTATAAAAATTATAATAAATTTTAAAAATGTAAATTTAAATAATGAAAATAAAAATCTTAGTATAGAAAAAAAAATGATTTTGACTAGATAAATTCAAATGATAATTCAAATTAAGTAAAATTTTATTAAAAAACCTGTTTAAATGAACTCAATTAATTTAATAAGTCCTAAATAATTAATTAAAAAAAATGAGGCTTTGTATGCTTGCTTCACTTTTTGAGGTTAAACAAATGCATTCATTTAGAAACGTGGGACTTGTTGATCAATAACTTTAAGCTCATTAAAGTTATTTATTAAATATGGTTCTTTAATACATAAAGTAAATATATTTATTAAAAAAATGGAGGCTTTACGTATATGTTTTATTCTTCTGAATTAAACAAATACAACACCTTAGAAGCCTAGGAGTTGTACATTATTTACTTTTCATTGCTAGCGACATCTTAAGCAATGGGGCAGACTATGCTATTTCTACTAGTATAGAGTTGTTACATAGCTGGACTTTTCATAAAAAGTCGACCATGTAATTTTGTGTTATCAACTTGAAAATTTTCAAAGTAGTAGCGCTTGGGAGAGTAGCAGTATGACTTTAATCACTCAGCACTGCGATGCTCAATTAATTTTTTTTTTCATTCTCATTTAATAAATTTTTATTATAATATTAATTACCAAAACAAAATAAACCGCAAAACATGAAAAAATATTAACTTACAACATGGCTGATGTAAATTCAAATAAATTAACATGTCACAGTGAACACAAATTTGGGTTACTCCCATACAGTAGTAAGTTTATAGTTTTAGCCAGACTTACCTAGATTTATTAATTTTGTTGGGGTTTATTGTTACCAATCCTTGAATGATTTTGACTTAGATCATTTTTCTTTTTTTCTACCGGTTTACTTCAATATTTCTAGGCAATGATCTAAGAGGTCTACTACAAACTAAAATTTTAAACAAACTTAATTAGATTTTTAAATTTTTAATAGAAGCAGCTTGATTTCAAAATTGTGTTCCTAAGTGCTTCACTACATCTTATAACAGTAATTTTCTACTTCAAAATTGTTTTCTTTTATAAAAATCAAGAGAATATTCAAGTATAGATTTAACATCATGTTATTGAGGATTATTCCAATTTACTCCTTGATAATTTTGTCAAGAATTTCATTGTTCGTTCCTAATAATATTACTTAACCAATTAATATTATGATGGTTCCTCCAGCCTAGATTATATATATTAGAGTAGGAATTTTATTATCTTCTAAAAAAATAAATATTTTTAATCCCTTACACCTTATTATTTTAAATTAACTTTTGATCCTCCAATTGCATAGATAATTCACTTATAAATTCTATATTTTTTCTATTATGCTTAACTTCTTAAAAATTGCTGCAACTTGTGCAATCGAAGTTGATAAAGTATCATAGCTTATAGTTTTACTACTCTATTAGGATTTAAGATATCAGTAGGCTATTAAAAATTATTAGGAATAATTTCATCTATAAGTTCATAGGCTTTCTTTAAATGGCTTAGACATTAAAGATCATTCAACTACGGCATCTATAATTGCTCAAAGTGATTCTATTAATCCATTATAAAATGTTTTGAAAAACTAACCAATCATGTAAAGGATGGTGAGGGCATTTCTAAAGCATTTCCATAAATCTCTCCCAACTCTCATATATTGATTCTCCTTCAAATTGAGTAAAAAAACTGATATCATTTCTATGTTTAGTAATTTGGGAAGGTGGGAAATAATTAACAAGAAACTAATGAGACAACTCATTCCAAATAGTTATAGAGCCCGGGGGTAAGGAATTCAACCATATCTTATCTTAATCTTTTAGAAAAATTGTTAATAATCTAAGTTTAATAATATCATCACTTACACCATTATACTCAAATGTTACATAAATTTTTAACAAACTGACTAAGTATAAATTGGGATCTTCAGCAAGAATTCTCCCAAACTGGAAATTTTGAACTGTTTGAATTATGATAGGTTTTAATTAAAATTTATTAGCTTGAATTGTATCTCTATTAATGCTCTAATGAATTATGTGTACTAAAGGATTAACATAATCCCTAAGAGGTCTAGGATGATCTTTATCAAATACAGGTTATATCATTTTAAGAATCTTTTTAGTTTTTTGAATTTTTGAAATTAGAGTACTTTTTATTTCAACGTCAAACAACAAAGGTTCTTTACTATGACTATTAAGCATGTAACCTTAAATATGAAATAAAAGAAATAAGATATAAATTTGTCTAATTATGCAATTAATTCAACAATATAATTAAAATTGTAATAAATAAAATACTTCTCTAATAACGGCACCAAAATATTGATAGGGGCTATTAAGAGAACTTTTTGAATTATGTAAAAATAGGGTTGTATCACCCCTAAACAATGCTTTTGTTTACTTTTATATGAATAATAACAAAATCCCACTTAATATACACAAGTATATATTCCGGACTAAGTAAAAAAATGATAAAGTAGAGTGTATAACCCAAGAGGAGGTAAGCTTACTTATAAAAAACAACTACTATTGACTTTAATTACAATAATTATTCTATTGAAATAAAATACAATTTTAGTAGATTCTATCACTGAATAAAACTGTAAAAAAGTTGGATACAATATTTAATAAATATAATTTAGAATGACAATAATTGCATTTTTTCTTAATGAGACTCTTCATAATGATATTTATAGCATATTCATCCCTATATCTCTATCAAGTTTGTTGCGATGAAAATGGCTGCCGCGGCCGGCTGTTGCGCGTGTTGTCGCGCTCCCGCGTGCATACGCCGCAATCCATGCGTAGTTCCCACGAATTGGTGCGCTGGACGCGCCGTTTCGACGATGGGGAGGAGGCAGTTCGGCCCACAGCCTCAAGTGGGCCCCACATTCACGAAATTAGGTGTTTTTGCTCTTTTTGGGTCCAAAAAATTCTGAAAAAATCTCAAAAAATCTTGAAAAATTATGAAAAAATTCAGAAAAAATTTGGAAAAATAGGAAAATCCGAAAATTGTAATAACTCCCTCCTATTCTCTCCAAAACCTATAAATAGGCCTCCTAGGCCTTTAGAAAATTTGCATCTTCTCTTTCTTTTTCCTCTGGCAGCTGAGGCTTTCGCTATTTACGAGCGTGAAATTTTCCCTGCTCGAATTAGCGCCTCTCCTCGCACGCAGGAGTTACAGGATTTCTTCTCCTCCCCCACGGCTCTCTGGCGGCTGAGGCTTTCGCTATTTGCGAGTGGGACATTTCCCCTGCTTGAATTAGGGCCCCTCCTCGCGCGCAGGAGTTACAAGATTTCTTTTCTTCCCCCACGACTCTCTGGCTGCTGAGTCTTCCGCTATTTTTGAGTTGGAAACTTTTCTTGCTCGAATTAGCGCCCCTCCTTGCGCGTAGGAGTTACGGGATTTCTTCTCCTCCCCCACGGCTCTCTAGCGGCTGAGGCTTTCGCTATTTTGAGTGGGAAACTTTCCCTGCTCGAATTACCGCCCCTCCTCGCGCGCAAGAGTTACGGTATTTGAATGCCATTTGAGCGAAATTTTGCTGGCAATGGACGATCGAGTTGATGCCCATTTGCAATCAACGATCGAGCGTGGAGCCAAAGGAGAGAGTTCGAGGGTGCGTTGCGAGTAGCAGTCGAGCGAGAAGCTGATGACGAGTAGTTAACGAGCAGAATTTTGACGACAAGGAGAAGTACGACGTCAAGTAGAAGTTAAATGTCGGGTAGAAGACCGACAAAAGTTCATCGACGCGTAGAATTCAGACGATGAGTAGGAGTTTGAATTCTGATAGAAGTTCAACATCGGACAAAAAACTGACAAAAGTTTGTCGATGAGCAGAAGTCTGACGACAAGTAGGAGTCCGACGTCCGGTAGAAGTTCAACGTCGGATAGAAGACCGATGAAAGTTCGTCGACGAGCAAAAGTTCGACGACGAGTAGGAGTCCGCTGACGAGCAAAAGTCGGATGACAGAGAGAAGTCCGACGTCGAGTAGAAGTTCAACGTCGGGTAAAAGACTGATGAGAGTTCGTCGACAAGCAAAAGTCCGACGACAAGTAGGAGTCCGCTGACGATCAGAAGTCCAACGGCGCGTAGGAGTCCACTGACGAGCAGAATTCGGATGACAGAGAGAAGTTCGATGTCGAGTAGAACTTCAACGTCGGGTAGAATACCGACGAAAGTTCATCGATGAGCAGAAGTCTGACGACGGAGAGAATTCTGACGTCGGGTAGAAGTTCAATGTCGGATAGAAGATCGACGAAAGTTCGTCGACTAGCAAAAGCCCGACGACGAGTAGGAGTCTGCTAACGAGCAGAAGTTAGACGACAGGAAGAAGTTCAACGTCGGGTAGAAGACCGACGAAAGTTCATCGACGAGCAGAAGTCCGACGACGAGTAGGAGTCCGCTACGCGCAGAAGTTCAACGTCGGGTAGAAGACCAACGAAAGTTCATCGACGAGCAGATGTCCGACGACGAGTAGGAGTCCGCTGACGAGTAGAAGTCCGACGACGGAGAGAAGTCTGATGTCGGGTAGAAGTTCAACGTCGGGTAGAGGACTGAAGAAAGTTCATCGACGAGCAGAAGCCTGACGACGAGTAGGAGTCTGCTAACGAGCAGAAGTCCGACGACATGAAGAAGTTCGACGTCGGGTAGAAGTCCTATCCGAGGTTGTATGTCAGAATATTTGTTCAATGGCATTAACCTATATGGAAGAGGTCGAGAGAATCCACCAAGGATGTAAGACTTATCCGAGGTTGTATGTCGGAGCCCTGCTCGATGACGTTAACCTGTGTGGATGAGGTCGAGATAATCCACCAAGGATGTAAGACCTATCCGAGGTTGTATGTCAGAGCCCTGCTCGATGACGTTAACCTGTGTGGATGAGGTCAGGAGAATCCACCAAGGTTGCAAGACCTTTTCGAGGTTGTATGTCGGAGCCCTGCTCGACGACGTTAAGATGTGTGGAAGAGGTTGGGAGAATCCACCAAGGATTGTAAGACCTTTCCGAGGTTATATGTCGGATCCCTGCTCGACGATGCAAACCTGTGTGGAAGAGGTCAGGAGAATCCACCAAGGATGTAAGACCAATCCAAGGTTGTATGTTGGATCCCTACTCGACGATGTTAACCTGTGTGGATGAGGTCAGGAGAATCCACCAAGGAGGCAAGACCATTCCGAGGTTTTATGTCAGAGCCCTTCTCAACGACGTTAACCTGTGAGGAAGAGGTTGGGAGCATCCACCAAGGATTGTAAGACCTTTTTGAGGTTGTATGTAGGAGCCCTGCTCGACGACGTTAACCTGTGTGGAAGAGGTCGGGAGAATCCACCAAGGATTATTCATCTGGTGACTGAGCTACAATAACGATTGTGTATTTGTTCGAGTCAAGGATAATAAAGTTCACAATTTTTGTGAATTTATCAATACAATTTTACTCGAAGAAGATAAGGAAATAAAGTCTTACTGCATTAAACAAAAGCATAGCTCTCTAAGACAGCTTAAGGAGGGAGAAGCTATAAACACCACAAACAACGTTCAAAATTAAAGACAGACAGTGCTGTAGTCATACAATACTAAAGACATACGATACTTAAAACAAGTAGCACTACTGTGCTCTACGCAATTAAAACTTGACAAGGTGTTGATAGGCCCCCAGCAATGGTTCCAATTTCCCCCACTATTTGGCGATTGTTTACCGACTGCCTTTGTTGTTGATTCTGCCCCACAGTCGGACCAAATTCATCTCGGGCTGGAGTATTTTTGATGAATTGTCGGAGGTATCCTTGTCGGGTCAGTCTCTCAACATCTTCCTTGAGCTGCCAACATGCTTCAGTAGTGTGCCTACGGCTACGGTGGAAGTGGCAATATTGCTCCTGGTTTCCGACATTGGGCTTCAAAGGGTGTGGCCATTTCACGTTCTCCTAATCCTGGATGGCCATTAATACATTTGCTTGGGATATATTAAGTGGTGTGTACTCCTTTTCTTGGCGAGGTTCTCGTCGTGGTGATGGAGACCTATGAGCTAGATTATTCTTCCCATGCTTTTTCTACTGTGAGAAAGAATTATGCATCCTAGGTGCACCTTTGTGCTTCCTGCTGATTTGCTCAAACTGTTTCCTTTGAGCATTTATAGCTTCATCCGCAGAGATTTATGCCTCCACGCTATGGATCAAGTCAGCGTATGAATGGACGGTGTCTCGCATAAGGGCCGAATAGAAGGGGCCAGGACGAAGACCTCAAAGAAAGACCCATCTGAGTAATTCAGGGTCTACTCCTGGAATCTGTCGTGCTTCAGTGTAAAATCACTGAAAATACTCCTTCAACGATTCTCCCTCATTTTGGCGGATCCCAGAGAGGTGAGAAGAATCCTTAGCAATTCTTCGATTGGCCACAAATTGTTCAATGAATACTTTGGCCAATTTGACAAAAGAGGGGATCGTCCTAGGTGGAAGTGAATAGAACCACGTTCGGGCCTATCCTTTAAGGGTGGCGGGAAAGACCTAGCAGAGGAGAGCGTCTGATGCTCGTTGAATATGCATGATGGTTCTGTAGTAGTCGATATGCTCATACGGGTCGGTCGTCCCGTCGTAGGACTCAACATTTGGCACTTTGAATCCGACCGGAATGGGGTGCTGAAGAATGGCTTCAGTTAGAGGCGATGACTCCTGGAAATTCCTCTGTCGAAGAGCATGCCTCACATCTCCTAGGTGGAA